CACGAAGCTAACCCCGTCTTGTGGGTCCTGGTGTGTCATTCGGGTGCGGGAGAGCCCAACAGTTACCCCTTGGTTGACGCCGTAAATTGTTTCAGCTTCGATTAAATGATCACGAAGTGCAACTATTTTTAGGCGGGTACCGTTGCACAAGCCTTTGCTTGTGTTAAGGTTAATAAGGAGGACAATTATAGAACCAACTTTGAGGTGTAAGTGGTGGGCGGGGAGACCGGAGGGGGTTAAGCTATTAATATAAGAAACATCTTGTTGGGCGGCATAGGGGTCTAACGGGTCATCAGTGAGACATCTGTCTACTGAATAATAGTCTCGGGATTGACTATTGAAGGAGGCAAGGATAAGATCATTATTAAAGTCGACGGATCGGTTAGTAGGAGCGAGCATTAATCTCATAAGAAGTTGACTACTTGAAATATTAAACCCTTGATCAAAGACGAAAGAGATTAGCTCATCACGAGTCTCTACCATCATTGATTTAGGCAGGGCGATTTTTTCCCGGGAGGTATCAGTACCCAAATTATAAAGCCACTGTTTAAATTGGATTTCAGTAGGAAGGAGGCGCATATTTTGGAGTAGACGGGTTTTAAGAAACATTTTATAAAGGTGGGAACTTTGTATACAAACAGGTACTGCCATTTCTGGTATAGAGGAATTTTTAACTACTGGGAGTGACTGTTTCCAATCCCCGGAAAGGATCACCACTTTACCAGCAAAAGGAATATCCCTTTTGGAAGGAACCATGGTCCGGCATAAGAGGTCGACGTTTTCTAACATTGTCATCTCCAGCAATGTTATTTCATCAATGATGACAACATCGCTTTCGATTATTCTTCGGCCAAAATAGCTTCCGAATTGGATTTGGGGGATTTGACCTGGGCGATGGTTAATTCCAAAACGGAAGGCGGAGTGCAAAGTCATGCCACCGGCATAAAACTTTGTAGCGGCGATCCCAGTCGATGCGGTTGCAAGGACTTTGTGACCTAACCGCCTTAAATGGAAGAGTAAGAAATTTAATAAGAAAGTTTTCCCAGTTCCACCATCCCCAGATAAGAAATAAAGTTTTTGGGAATTAGGATCTCTTATGGAATTAAGAATTAAATCAAAGAAATTATTTTGTTCGGGGTTAAGGGTGGCACTGACTAATGACGATGTATCGGCAGTTGCGTCGGTATCATCATCATTAACATGTTGGGGGAAGAAAAACTGATCAACAGCTGTATCAGGGTCGTCAGTGAGGGAATTATGTGGAAGTGGGAGACCATAATCAGACATTTGCTTGCCATTAGCAAGCAAATATCTTTCAATTATAGCCAAAGCCCGGTCAATACGAATTGGACGTTGATCATCGGTACAACGTCGGTCAAAGAAATGGTCTATGAACATGTTCCACAGATGCAGAGCATCTATGACGCAATCATCTGTGGAACTAAATACAAGAATATTTACGAAAAGCTGTCGCATTTGGGAAGGAGTTAAACTATAAGAACCCTCTCTTAAAGTTCGTTCCCATACGGAACTATCTTCAAAGAGGCCACGTTGGCGGGCTGCTTCGGCAAAAGTGGTGTACTTTATACCGTTTACAGTTAATAATTGGTCGGGGTCCCCAGGGAAATGTTTAGTAAGAATATAAAGGGCGAATTTTTCAGGGTCTTCTCGGGGGGAAACAGTATAAATTCTTCCTAAAACAGGCTGACCTTTAACAGTGGACCGTTTACGGGGTTCCCAAGTTTTAGTATCATCATGGAAGGCATAAGTTTCGGGGAGATTTTCAAATAAAATATTTTTAACATTATCATCTTTAGCCCAAAGTTTCCAATAAGCAGTTAATTTCGATTCCGGGTATTTGCCCTGGCCAACATCAGCTATTATTTGATTACGAGAAGCGGGTGTCATGAAAACGGGTTGGTGACCAGGTAAGTGAATTGAGAGTGGGATTACGGCATGGGAAAGGTCAGCATATTTGTAGGATTGGATTCTGGAAAATGCCTCAGCTGGACTGCGATAAAGCATTTTGGCATATTGGGCGGGTTCGTCAATGTTAACAGTGCCGGCAGTACTTTTAATATATGAAAAACTCGCTCCTTTGAAAGGGTACTTAAGGGCATATTTAAGGTTGTCGGTTTGTCCGTATGCAAGTTCCAAATTATGGTGGCATTCGAACATAACCATTATGAAGGGATTATAGGGGACTATACGAGAGTTATCGTATTTAATGATGGCTTGTCCACGTGGGACACTAAGGACTTCACCACCATCTTGTGGACTGGGACGAAAATATTCCGCAGGCCTATTTTCGTGGAGAATGGTCTGCCTGGAGAAGGCTTTTGGGAAAAACTTCATACATTTCCCATCATGCCCTCTACAGTGAGAACCACAGTCGTGGACTTGGAATTTAGGAATGAGGTCACGAACTTTCCTAAGAAAGTTCGCCCAATCAGAAGTATCTGAATCGGGTGGGTTGGGAGGAATGTGGGCCCAGATTATATTAGAAATATTTTCGGGGGTTGCTAGCATGTCTGTTGTGTAGACTCTATGAAGATGGGGGCCGCCGATCCTTTTTTGAAATTCACGGCTTTGGGCAGAACCGAGAATTTTCCCCAAAATATTTTTATTATTAATAAGGTCAGTTAATTTTCGTTTTTTATCCTCATAGACTCTACACATTACATCAAAACGGTCAACTAATTTTTGGTTTTTATGAAGGAAATTACGTTTAATTTCGGGCCAATTGGGATTGGAGGTGAAGGTCAACATGAACGATGCACAACCCTTACGTCTTGTGCGAGACATAATGGTTGTTGCATCATAGAACATGTCTTGGAAGTAGGGCCGGGTCCCAGGATGATATTTACGGAAGAATACTACACTTGTAATGTCGTCGACTGATTTCAGTCTTCCGTCATTAGCCAAGTGTTTAAGAATTGTTGGGGGAATGGTTTTAAGAAGGTTAAATCGGGGTTGGCGTAAGAAACTTGCTACTTGAGCATCAATTCGTGCCGCATAGTCAAGAGTAAATTTTTGTGAGAGGCCACCACCTGCACTCCAAATGTTGTGCAGGGGCTCGTCCTTGCGAATAGCAAGACGATAGCGAATATAATCGCGGAAGGAGATGTAATTTTTGGAATTGGGGCTTTCTTCAAGCTCATCATCGGATCCTGAATCCTCCGAGTTGTCCTTATTAGAGGTGGAAGGAATTTTATTAGTATTAAAGGGAAATTTTTCATAAAACCCATCATCGCCATTGGGAAATAAAAGAGGATAACAAAGAGTGTCGACTATTGGATTGTAAGGTTTAATCTCAAATAAAGATCCTTGGAGATCAGTAATATAAACACCTTTTAATAAGGGGGGATCAGTGGACTCTGTCCAGATAGAAAACATCGCCTTCTCGTCAGGTAAATTTACTTGACGAGGATGCGCTGTACGATCTCTAATAGGGGCAGGGACATTTCGTTCCTCCAAAAGAGTAAACCGAAATTTGCTTACAGCATCGGGGCCATCCTGTTGCAGGATCCTTTCATACTGAGTATGAAAGTTTATATAATTTCTGGCAAAGGGGTGGGTCGTTCTAAGGAGGGAGTCTAAGTCCTGGAGAGTTTTCTTGTTTACACGGTCACCCCCATATTGAGTATTTTTGGTGCGTATATCCAGAGCTTCATTTGCATCCAGAATATACAATTGGGAAAAGGAAGGAGTTAAAGGGCCTGGGAACATTGAACTAATACGTCTAGAAAACTCTCCATTTAACATCAAACAAACACTACCATGGAGGGAGGAATCTTGGTGGCCAACGGAAATGGAGGCAAAGGCTAATAAAGAATTATAAGTATTTTCATTATTAAGAAATTCCTTGGATTCTGGAGTATTCCCTGTTAATAATTTTTTTAATAACGGGGGATGTTGAGTATATGCAGGAAGGGTTACTTTACCGCATTTACAACAGAAGGAGGAGGTATCCCGTTTAAATTGTTTCTTGTGATCTTTATTAACTTCAGAGTTTAATAATAACGCCCAGCAGTAATAACAGGTAGAGTCCCCAAAATTGCCCGAGTCATAATATTTAGTAGTATGCTGTGATCGAACATCAGCACAGGGCCATAAGGGGTGATTACCAGCACAACGACTGGTAATCGGGTTGGATGAGGAGGAAGGTGGTGGGGAAGTAAGGGAAGAAGGTGCTGGTGTAGCATCCTTCTTTGACTTAATACGCTCAGAACGGCGCAAATTTTTGGAGGGAGGGTCGGGTTCTAAGAACACGAAGGGGTAGTTGGGTACAACCACCCCTTCGTCGGGAATTACATGTTCGATGACATGTTGAGGGGGGGGCTACATGTTCGATGACATGTTGAAGGCGAGGGTGGTACTCAAAATTATCCCCATTAAAAAGGTTATTAACGTGCCAAAGTATTCTACGTTTTTCGGTATTAATATTAAGATTATTAAAAATAAGATTACGATTGTTAAAAAGCCATGCTTCGGCATATAAACAGGTAAAGTACCCACAACTGTTCCCATCAGTTTGGCGGGTATATAAATTAGTGGGATAGTCGTTAATATGAATATTATTAATAGGAATATTAGTCATACGATTAATATAAGAATGAATAATAGGAATCCTTTGATCACCATGCAATCGTGATTGAAGGGGGAAAAAGAGGGAATCAATAAAAAATCCTCTATTATCAGAGGCATCCCAAACTACTAAGGTCCAGTGATGTGGGAAGGCAAGGGGGAAAAGGATTATCTCAGGCACTTGGCCTGGGATAAAACCATAGCACCGGTCTACGAAAGCTTCCTCTGGAATGTCTTGGACATTCTGATTAATAGGAAGAGGAATAATGACATTTGAGTCAACTACTACGGTGTATCTATGGCAATGTCGGGACAGATAGCAAAGAAATCCATAGATTTCAGAACCATCGAACCACTCTGTTAAATTATTCCAGAGGGTTTCTATACGAAGGGGAGCCCTATCATTATCTTCATCACGAAGTTCCATGAAAGCCCTATTACAAATTGCCCCGGGGTCATTAGTTTTTTGGGTTGCAAAATTAAGTAAAGGTAAATTTTCAAAATTAATAGTGGGAACCATGGGAACCTGGGGTGGTTGAGGTGGTTGAGGAGGTTGAGGTTGTTTCTTGGGTCTTCCCGTGGTTCCTCTCGTTTTCTTTTTAGGGCGACCACGTTTAGTGGCAATAGAATTATTTGGAGAGGATGCACGGGAAGAAAAAACAGACGAAGAATCAATTGAGGACAATAAACTTTCAGTGTCAACAGAGGACTCTCTAGTCTTCCTCTGTTTCCTTGGCGCAACGGCCTCGGAAGTAAGGGAAAAAGGGGTGAGTGGGGTTGTTGGAGTATGAGGAGGACCCGGGTCAACAGTTGCATCAAAAATATTTACATTATCAAAGTTAAAATGAAAAGAATGATCATGAAGAGAAGAAGGAAGAGAAGAAATAGAAGATGATTCACCACCCTGAAGCGGGTTGAGAGATATATTGCTCTGAAGAGAGCAGTTTTGGTTTCCCAGATCAAGATTCTGATCAGAATGCTCTGGTTGGACATCCTGATCAGTGCTCTGAAGAGAGCAGTTTGGGTTAGGGTCAGCTAAATGTCTTAGCCGACGATTTTTGCGCTTTTGACGATCTTTTGAAGGCATATTTATTAAAAATATATTAAAATTTAATTATAAACCCAAAATATCCAAAATATAGATGCAAAAACGCAAAAGAAATGAGGAGAGGAGAGGAGAAAAATAGAAGAAGAAGAAGAAGAAAATGATATATAATAAATAAATGAAAGAAAAAACATGAATTTACTACCCCAAAAATAAAAATAAATCTACTGCCCCAAAAATAAAATAAATCTACTGCCCCAAAATAAAAATAAATCTACTGCCCCAAAAATAAAATATATACTACCCCAAAAATAAAATACTGCAAAAAATAAATATAGAAGGAAGGTAAAAGTCTCACTACAAAGCTACGCAGGACAAAAAAATATCTTAGAACAAAAGAAAAATAAGTTCTATAAATTACTCTGCGTAGATTAGGAGCGAAACCGACATAGTATGAAATATAAATCAGTTCTACCAAATCTCTTTACCATTATTCTACCAAACATGATCTTGGTTTATGTTAAAATTAATTTTAGTTAAATTTTTACAGAAAAGTTTTAAAAATATCATATTTTTAATTGATTTATTTCTATTTTTCAAATTTAATCATGTTCGATAAAAGTCTGATAAAAAGATTGGAGTGAGGGAAAAGGTTCTGACCAAGGCTTATGCCGTACGCATTGGACGATGTGACTTCAGGGAGGAAAAAAATAAAATGAAAAAATAAAAGAACCCAGGGAAATAGAGAGATATTGAGTAATTAATATATTTAAATAATTTCTCAGGTAAAATATAAGTTTCTAAAATCTTTTTAAAGGGTAAATAGTGTAGATGATTGCTTTATTATATTTTTTATAATTTATTACTAATTTAAACAATTACATTATTCAGTAACATTTATTGGAAACTCTTGTTAAATAATAGGGAAAATATTTTAATTTATTTAAATATCAGAAAGGGAAGAAAAAATTCAAAAATGGCTAAAAATCCCTCGAATTATTTAAGATGGGGTTGGGTAGAAGTCACATATCCGCGTACAGCCCTTGGTAGAAGTCACCAGATGGCATCAACTGGGGGGTACCAGCTGACTGGAGTGCCAAAAGATGAAAAGTTGGGTACAGAAGTTAGGAGCGGAGTCTACCTGGGCTTCCAACCGGGGTAGAGAAGGGAATGAGGCCCACCTTAGAGTTCAAAGCATTATGCATACCAGTATTGGCATCCGCGCAGTAGGCTAGTATGCATTAAAGGGGGATAAGTTAAATATATTTAGGATTTTTGAAGTTTAGATAGTTTGTTTTCTAATAATTTTTATTGGGGGCATGCTTTTTACTCTTCGGTGATTTGACAACACCGCATTCCCGACCCTAATTGGAAGGAGCCACTTGAGGTAGCTAAGAAATGATGCAATAAATGCATACATTAGTAAACGTGCAATGCTCCGAGGCGAAGTGCAATGCCCCGTATGAGCTGTTTAACTAATGTGTAATGAAAACCCGCACATTATGCGGCACCAGACTCCACAGGTCTTCTGCGGGATTATATCCGAATGGTTGGCCTTTTTGAGGTACCTGTACTATATCCCGAAAATTTTATTTTTTTTAAATTTTTGAGTACAGGTACCAAAAAACCATAATGTCTACGAGTATTGGTAACTTAATACACAATAGTAGACATTATGATCTAGCCAACCAAACGGAAGCACGCATCCTGCTTCCTCCGGTTAACCACATAATGGTATAGGGGAAAGATCTCTTTATTATAAGAAACCCCAGAATGGGGAGGGAGGAAGAAAGAGAGGAGGGAGAGAGAGAAGGGAGAGAGAGAAGAGAGAGAAGAGAGAGAGAGAAGAGAGAGAGAGAAGAGAGAGAGAGAAGAGAGAGAGAGGAAGGTTAGAGAGAGAGAGGGGGGAATAAATAAATTAGATATTTTGGGTTTATAATTAAATTTAATATTTTTTTTATTTTTTAGAGAGCATATTTAAAAAAAAATAATGATTTTGAAAAATGACTGGAAATGAGAAATATGGGGTATATCCTCCTCCTTATATAGTCCCATACCCCCCATAGTACTCTCCTGCCCCAGAGTTACCATTTTGAGATTTTGACCATTTTGAGCCCTGACCATTTTGAAATTTACCATTTTGACATTTTTTGCCAAAATGACCTACTCGGGATTCTGAATCGATCTGTGAAGGTCTCGAGCTCGAGTCGAGCTCGAGACTCGAGCTCGAGGGCTCGAAAGGTACAAAGTTGCTCCAAGTATAGGCATGTGGGTACTCGTTCAAACGGGCTCGTCGAGCTGAGTCGGAATATGCAGGTCTCGAGGTCGAGACTCGAGGCTGGTTCTCAAACTCGAGACCTCGCCCCTATTTTTGGGGGGCTTCTCCCACAATATTGGTCCTTTTTGACCATAACTCGGTCAGACTCAGGTGGAAAAGCATATGTTATTCCTACTCGAGATTCTAAATAAATCATTGAAGGTTTCGAGCTCAAATCGAGCTCGAGACTCGAGCTCGATGGCTCGAAAAATAAAAACTTGATTTAAGTTAGGCATGTGGGTACTCGTTCAAACGGGCTCGGCGAGCTGAGTCGAAATATACAGGTCTCGAGGTCGAGACTCGAGGCTAGTTCTTAAACTCGAGACCTCGCACCAATTTTTGGGGGGTTTTACCCAGATGTTGTTACTTTTGCACCTATAACTTGGTCAGACTCAAGTGACCCCCCAAACAAATTATATATTTCTCGGTGGATTAGAGGGTCTTCTATAATTTAACCGTGCCAAATTTGATTTATAACCCTTCCTTTGGTACCCCAATGGGTATGGTACAGCCCAACCCAAAATTTCGACCCTCTATAACTTTGGCCAAAATGGTCAGAAAAATTTGGAAAAAATATTTTTAAACTCAGCTCGATAAGAGCTTTCGAATGATATAATATTTACACTATTTATGGCCATGTTGAAAAAATTATTTTTTTGGTCGAAAATTTTGGCCGAAAAATTTACCCAAATTTTCAAAAATTCATAACTTGCCCAAAGTATACCCTTTTGACCCATTTTAAAATCTTATTCTATGCAGAAAAATCTGCTCTATCAATGAAAAATGCCTAAGCCCGAAACCGCCGGCAAAAATCCCGGAATTTTTTCGAAAAACCGAAAAATTTTCGAATTTTCGAAATTGGACCCCCTCGGGCCCAATTTCGAATTTTTTCGAAATTTTTTAGGCTCGAAAAATTTCTAATGTTTTATTCTATTTTATAAAAGAAACCCCACCCAGATTCCTTTATCCGGTAAAAAGTTATGGCGATTTAAAAAATCGCGAAAATCCCAAAAAGGGGTACCCCTTTAGATCTGAAGTCGGGAAAAAAATTTTCGAATTTTGACACAAAATTCGACCTATATGGTGCTACAATAGGCGCTGAGTCCATATCCGGTCTCAGAAAAATTTTAAAAAAATTCCCCGGGACGTTAGAGTCTCATAAAGTTTTGCGCCATTTCGTCACATTGGCTATAACTTTTTGAGACTCAAGTGGACCCCCAAAATATTATACCTTTTTCTGACCGACAGGGGACGCTCTTTCGAACTGGCTATCGGAATCGGGGTTCAATTCACAATACAAAAAGTCGACTTTTCGACTCTGACACTTTGACCCAAAACACCCCCAAAAGTTCACCCGAGACTCAAGTGGTCAACTACCGATAAGTTCTCAACATCCACCCCTACAACAATGCCCCCAGACCCCAAGTCCCCCAAGTTCTCAAAAACGCGTTATAACGCGTTGAAATTTTGAACCGGCCATTTCGGTGCCACACTCAAGTGTGGCACCAAAATGGCCTATCCCATTAAACTCCCCATAGCCACTTACCTAATACCCCCCAGGTCCCATCTTAATCCGCCCAGCCGTTCCCGAGATCTCGCACTTCCACATTTTGCCAATCTCCAATGGCACCACATTTGGCCAATGCGTCACTTCGGTTTGCGCACCTATAACTCCCCGGGTGTTCAACCGATTTCCAAAATTTTTTTTTTATATTAATCCCCTAATAGAGGAGCAGTGCCCTCCCAGCGGGACCTTTCCGCTCCGACTTTTAGTTCAGGAGATAGCCAATTTTGGGGGGTCGTTTCGGCGCAAAGGAAAAGTCGTGGCGCCGAGTTCGTATTTTTCCTGAATGCGCCGTAAAAAGTACCCCCCAAGATGTCACGCTTCTGTCGAGCGTCCGGCCTTCGGCCGGCCGATAATAGTTTTTAAACGCTAAAATCGATGTTTTTATAAGTATATATAAACTAGCTGTGGGTTACGTATGCGATGGCGGTAAGTTACGTATGCAATTCCTATTAGGATACTCTGGCGGTAAAATTTTGTTCTGCCCGTTGGAAAGCCTAACGGCTTTGGGGCGCGCTTCGCGCGCGGCTAGAAACGGTAACATTTGCTCTGCCTTTTCATTGCTCCGGGCCTTCGGCCCTCGCCAGCAAAGTTTAGCCATGCCTTTTCATTGCTTCGGGCCTTCGGCCCTCGCCAGCAAAGTTTAGCCATGCCTTTTCATTGCTCCGGGCCTTCGGCCCTCGCCGGTAAAGTTTTGCTCTGCCTCTTCATTGCTTCGGGCCTTCGGCCCTCGCCAGCAAAGATTAGCCATGCCTTTTCATTGCTTCGGGCCTTCGGCCCTCGCCAGCAATGTTTAGCCATGCCTTTTCATTGCTTCGGGCCTTCGGCCCTCGCCAGCAAAGATTAGCCATGCCTTTTCATTGCTTCGGGCCTTCGGCCCTCGCCGGTAAAGTTTTGCTCTGCCTCTTCATTGCTTCGGGCCTTCGGCCCTCGCCGGTAAAGTTGAGCCCTGCCTTTTCATCGCTTCGGGCCTTCGGCCCTCGCGATTCGTTTTGAGATGGGTCTTAAGCTCGGGCCTTCGGCCCTCGCAATTCGTTTTGAAATGGGTCTAAAGCTCGGGCCTTCGGCCCTCACGTTTCGTTTAGGGATGGACTTAAGCTCGGGCCTTCGGCCCTCACGTTTCGTTTTGAGATTGGTCTTAAGCTCGGGCCTTCGGCCCTC